AAACAACTTTTATGAAGTTTAAATTCGCAGGCCTGTGTAATCAAAGAATCTGAAAAACTCTTTAAGAAGGAAAAATGTAAACTGACGGAAAATAACTGACACTAATGCTGATGTAAAACCCAAATAATTTTATTTTTACTATTGTAATTAGTATATTTAAAGATATACGTTCATATTCATAATTAGCTAAGCGCGGTCCAGTGGTCAGCATGTCGGACTGTGGATTTGAGGTTCTATGCATCGTGTTCCATTTCCAGCAAAATAGAAAAAGTAAAAAAATCGTGCTCTGCACTTTGGGACTATGAGTGCGTTATAAGTGTGACCGTAAATCCCACTATTTGATTAGAGTATCTCAAGAGATGGCGGTGGGTGGTGTTGAGTAGCAGCGTTCTCTCCAATCCATCACTTCAAAATTAGGGACAGCTAGTTTTTAGTTTTCTGTTTTCGGACTAAAATTAATAGTCGTAACAAAGAAATTGAGCGATGTTGAGCAAAGTTAATGAATATTGGCTGAATAAATTATGAAGTTGAAAATTGGTTAATATTCTCTTTTTTCCCCTTAAAATATATAAATAGACCTAAAATAGCCAATTAATATTCTTTCCTTTTTAAAATGACTTATCCATGTTTCGTGTCACGTATAAAATACGTTTTTATGAAAAGTGTGATTACTTGTTGTAACACTTTGAAATCTCTAGGTTAAATTTATCAGCAAAGAAACGTCCACGTGTCAATTAGTTGTATATTTGTCTGTATGCACTTGTTGATAATACAGACAAATATCATGTTTGTCTTTATATATCACCTTCTGTTGGGTAAACTAAAACCATTACATATTTTTCTCTTTTAGAATGTATGGATACACAAGTTATTATGGACTTAAAGTAATGAAACTTGTTTTTTTTTTTTTTTTTTGCTACTAGAACTTACACTTCAATGCCTATTTTTCGTTGAACTTTAAATTCGGGTTACTGACGCGAAAACAAATTGTTATTTTCTCACTCAAATGCCCATATAAACTGCTCTACTCATAAGCACTGTTGTTATTCTTTTTGATTTGTCTTTATAGAAAAGCACCAGTGCTGTGGCGTATCTACTAGTACTATATAAAGACGAAAAGCTGTCCGTCTGTCACGCCGATATCTCGGCCGTCGCGGTACCGATCGACACGAAATTTGCACGAAACGACGGCGCTTTATGCCGCGACAAGCAAGTTTGTCTTTTTTAAATTCTTTCAGCCATATATATATATATATATATATA